TTCCGCTGCCTCACATTGGGTGAGCTGCTTCGCCCCCAGGAGTCTTGAGTTCCTCTCAGAGGAAGTGGAGTTAATAATGTGTTAAAAAAGAAAAGGAACCATTGTTACCATCAAAGTGCTTAGAATGATTCAAAGATATCTTCCCAAGCCTGTGAGAAGTGTGGGGTGTTTTAAATACCCAAGTAATTTTAACACTAAAATCAATGTGACTTACCAATGTAATTTTCCTAGACTAAGCCAAGTAGTCGAAATTAATCAATGATGAATAAATATTTATTAAAGTTGAGCTTGTCGTGTTATCGGTGAGGATGAACTGAGATCTTCTATGCAGTGTCTAGAAAGATGCGTGGCAGATGGTAAGCGTTTCACAAGTCTTGTTATTTTTGTTGGGATGGTTTGACATTATCTTCTATGAAGAAGTGATGTTTAAACTCTGTTGTGGAAAATGTTTAGCATTCTAATAATACTAATATTACAAATGTTAGCTACAATTTTACAGTACTTTTATATACTCTTCTGGTTTCCATGGTCGCATTCTCAAATTACCCCAAAAGTTGATGGCATGACACCATTGTGTATTCTTACAGCTTCTGTGAGTCATCCACCCAGACAGGGCGCAGAGGGGACAGCCTGTGTCTGCCCTGCAATGGCAGAGACCTCAGCTGGAAGGCTTGAGGCTTGGGGCTGAGATTACAGGGTGTCACGTGTTCACACACGGCTAGTGTTAATACTGGCTGTTGGCAGGAAATTCCGTTTCCCTCCACGCTGTCTGCCTGCACTTGAGTGGACATTCTTACAACAAGGTGGCTGGGTTCCAAGGCCAAGCATCCTGGGGGTGGGAGGGTGGAGAATAAATGATGGATAACATTGCGAAGAACAGGAATTCCAGAACACTTAATTGTGCTCCTGCAGAACGTGTACATAGACCACTTTGCAATTACTGTGTCCGTCCACCTAACCGCTGCTTCCTCTCCTTCAGCGGCCCCCTAGTTTTGAAGCCTAGTATCCTTCTCCGCGGACTAGCCCCTCCTGAAAAAAAAGTATGCTCAAGATGAAGATTCACCATCTTTGATTCTAAGAAGCAGTCTAGCTGGTCAAAGAAAGATTTCTCCAAAAGAAAGGCTTATCTTTCAGATGATCTCATTTCAAAAGCCACGTTAACGCCATTTCCAGCATTCCATTGAATTCCAGAGGCCTCCAGATTCACGAGGAAGGGATGTAGATCTGCCTCTCAGTAAAAGAAGTCTCAATCACTTTATAAGACAAACACGGGAGAAAGGAGATCAGGTTGATGCCACTGTCTTTGGAAGCATACAGCTTACTACTATACATAAATGATCTTATATAAGCTTGACTAACACTTTACAACAACATAGAGTGAGCTACGTTGGCCTAGTGGACAGAAAGTTATGCTACCAAGCCCATGGTGGGTGATTTTAATCTGTGGCACTCAGGCCTGGTTCAAACTGGTTTTTTGTCAAACATTCTTCTAGGTGGTTTAGCACTGGTCTGTGCATTGCTGTACAGAAGTAACTCGTGGTTGCTGTGATGCTAAACACTGTGACACCAATGTGTCAAATGCGAGAATGGTGGCCCATGGTGGACAGTGTTGAGTGGAGCTTCCCGATTAAAACAAGCTTGGAAGCAGGAGTGGCATCCACTTCTGAAATGGCTTGCCTCCAGAAACTCTATGAGCAGTGTTCAGGCCTTTCGTTCATAGGGTCACTATGAGTCGCCTACAACTCGATGGCACCGAACAACAATAACACTTTACAAGGAAGGTTCTATTCTTAGTTCCATCATATGGAAGAGGAAATGAAGACTCATCAAGGTCAAGAGTTCTGTCCAAGATCATGGCTAATAAACGAGATAGCTGAGATTTGAAAGCAGCGGACCGTCACGCCTCCTGCTTACCAAATTCAGAGCAAAGAGTGCAGCAGCCGATATCCTTAACCAACCAGCTCCCCCCAGGATGCTGGGGAATCATGGTGCGCTGGTGAATCATGGCTTGTTCTTGTTGCATTCCAGACAGGAGCCAGGAATCTTCCTGGGGTGGGAAGCAGGGTATTTGTAGAACAGTGTTCAGGGTGGATGAGGGAGGGATTTGGGCAGAGGTGACCATGAAAGGCAGCGGTGACAGAGAAGGTGGGGCTGTAGAGGGCGGCACTGGAGCCCAGAGGCCATGCTTCTCTGGCGCTTCAAACCCACCAGTGACTTCAGAGGAGTGAGGAGGACAGTCTCTTCCCACGTGATGTTCAGAGGAGGCTCAGCTATGAGTGGTTTCAGCTCGAGGGCCGTGAGTTTGCGTTTTTGAAGAGAGATAAGATGATATCAGGTGGGATATGCCCCCCTTGGTTAGGGCACAGTAGAGCTTGCTGCAACAGAGTACCAAAAGGGGGTGTCTTTGAAGAACAGAAGTGGATTCTCATCCGAATCAGTTTGTGGTCAGCCATGTGCATTCTCAGGCAGTTCTTGGGGGGGAAATCATCCCCTAGAAATCAAGAGGGACCACTCCCTGGAGGACAGCATCATGCCTGGTAAAGTAGAGGGTCCGTGAGAAACGGGTGGACCCTCAGGGAGGTGGATCGGCAGGGTGGCCGCAAAGGGAGCTCCAGTGTGGCCATGATTGTAGGGCGGGGCAGGACCGGCCTCTTCCTTCTGCTGTGCACAGCGTTGCAGTGAATCTGACCCAACTCAGCGACACCTAACAGCACCAACCACAGCCCCACTCAACTTCAGGCTCATTCATTCATTCATTCATTGTTGTTGAGTTTTAACCGACTCACAGCTGACTCTCCACTGGGTTTCCATATTTGTGACACACAGGAGATTACCCATCTTTCTTCCTTGGACCTGCTGGTGGATTTGAACCACCAGCAGCATGGCCTTTGGATTAGCAAGGCAAGCTCCATGCCAGCTGAGCCACTGGAGTTCCCTCTTGGAGCCCCTGGTTTCTCTGGGCTTATAAATGCAGTCCTGGCCTTCTTCTGTCCCTCTCGATGGCTTTGTACCTCGTTGTAAGGACAGCACTCAGATGGGTTTAAGGGCCTTCCTGGTCCAGTATGACCTCAGCTTCACTGGCAACATCTCCAAAGACCTCAGGATTAGGATAAATCCCAGTTCAATCCCTAACAGGGAAGGAATGGGGAAGCGAAAGCTTGTAAGTCAGGAGCCAGAAACCTGACTGCTGTCAGCAGTCGCCCCTGTGAACCCATGTGTCAGGGTGGAACTGTGCTCGGTAGTGTTTCAGTGGCTGGTTTTGCCAAAATGCATCACCAGGTGGTCCTTCTAAGGACCCTCTCTAGGTGGCCTCAGACCCCCAGCCCTTGGGCGAGCACCCCAGTGTGTCAGCAGCCCTCAGTGCTCGCAAGATTTCCCGAGTAACGAAGACACACGTGGCTCCTCAAGGTGGTCCACACACGCAGCCCTTCCCCAGACTCCATCTCAGCCCCCTGTTGTGGAACCAGGCACCTCCAGACCCCAGCAGGCAGGTGGCACCCCAATCTCCCACCTATCTCCCCTCTGTGCTCTGCTCCCCTCCTGGCTGATGGAGCATCAGCGCCTGGATAAATATTTCCCCTCTTTATCTGCCAAGTGGGTAGGCTTGTTTTAAAAAGAGCAATATGGTGTTTATGTTCACACATACGCACAACCTCGCACGCTCCCCACCCGAGGCACAGGGGAGATCCGCTCCTGTCTCCACACCCGCTCGTAAATGTCACAGAAGCTCGAGTCTGAGGCCGCAGCCCCTCACGTGCTCGCTCTCCCCTCCTCCCGAGGGCTCGGAAATCTCCCCAAGACCTGCAGTGTCACAGGACCTGAAGAAGGAGTCACTTCCCCTCACCCCACTTTCTGAGTTCCAACCCTGCCTGTGCCCCTTCCTGGCACAGTGACACTGGACAGGTTAATCAGCCTCTTCTGAGCCCATGTGAGCAGTCGGGTGTTTTTTAATTGGTTTGGATCTTTTCGGGGATGAGGTTACACAATAATGGCCAACATTTCCATGGATTTTCAATGACTGGCACAGTGGGTGTAAGAGCCGGGCGGTGGGGTAGGGAATGTGAAGTGCAGGGAGGTGATAGGGGCTGAGGGTGAGCCAGAACGTGTGCCACTTTGGGGTTTCATCAGCACCCCCAGTTGTGGGTAGGAACTGTTAAATTGGTGCCTCTTCTTTACTTATTTATTTAACACAGTGAAAATTATTTTATATAAAAAACCCTAAAACCCGAAAGGACAAAGCTGGGCATGTCCTGTGATGGGTTACAGGGTGGGTGTGGGTGTGGGTGTGGGTGTGGGTGTAGGTGCTGTGACTGTGGTGAGCCCAGCTCCACAAAGACCCTCAGGTGGGTGGGAGGTGCTATGACCCTGGAGCCCAGCTCCAGGCAGAGCCTACGATGAATTACAGGGGGAGAG